TCACTCTTTCAAGTATATATTAGCATCATTCTAATAATTTTAGAAAAGGTGCAGAAAGTAATGGGAGTACAATGGGAATAGATTAGTGGTCTGGTGGCACACTGGTTAAGTGTTTGGCTGCTAGTTAAAAGGTTGGCAGTTTGAACCTACTATCCTCTACACAGGAAGAAGCAGCAATATGTTTCTGTGAATAGAACTTCGGCAATGCTATGAGGCAGTTTAACTCAGTCTTATCGATTTATATGAGTTGAATTTGACTCAGTGGCAATGGATTTTGTGTCAGAGAATAATGCCACAGGGTTTAGAGTTTATAAACTTAAATATTTAAAGGTCACATCTCTGAGGAGATCACACTTAAACTCTAGCTTGAGACTAGAAGAATGAGGAAGCTGGCAAAATAGTCTTACATATGAACTGAAGAATGGCTTTCATAGAAAGACCAGTGAAATAGGAGTAAAATCTGGAATTTAGTTCACAAAAATATACTAATTTAATATCTCAGTTTTGATCAACATACCAAGGTTATGGAAAATGTTAACATTAGAGGTATTTGGGTGAAGAGCATATGGAACTGTTCTATACATTATGTTCGCAACTCTTCTCTAAATCTAACAATATTCCAACATAAAAGACTTTGAAAAAATCTTCTATATGTTATTTGGAAACTTAAGTGGATTTAAGAAGAAGAATACATTTTATCAGGCCCAAATGGCACTCTTTTAACAATATATTGCTAGAGTTGGAGCCTTGGTGGCCTAGTGGTAAGAAGCTGCACTGAAATCCCAAGACAAGGTTTAAAACTACTATATGCTCTCCGGTAGAAGGATGGACAATCTCCTCCCGTGCAGTTGTCAGACTCTGAAAACCCACTGGAGGGTCAGCTATCAGTCAGTTCTGAGTCTATGGGACACAACAACAATAACTGCTATTGTTAGGTGTCATCAGGTTAATTCCTACTCACAGTGTCCCTGCAAACAAAAAAGGAAACCTAGCCCAATCCTGCACTGTCCTCACAGTCTCTGCTAAGCCCAACACTAGCTCTGCAGTCAGTGGGTAGTTAGTGCCTTTCAACTCGCCTCATCATCCAACACTGGATCAGATTAGATTTGGCTGAATTCATTGCTTTTCATGGGCCCATTATTTCAGAAGGACACGGCCAGTCCTGATTGTTAGTCTGTTCTACTCGGATCACAATTACAAGACAATGAGAGGAATGGGGGTAGGAAGAAGGAAAAATCAGAAGGGAGCATTACTCCATTAGTCTCTGTAAATCGCCTTAGCTTCTTCTCTACCTGCAGTTGTAGAAATTTAAAGGGCAAAGACTGAAACTTAAAAATAACCTTCAAACCAAGTGAAATGGAAACAGTCACTTCAAACCTGTGTTGCTGTTGTTGTTGTTGTTGTTGTTATGTATATCAATTTGCCTGTAATTCATAGCAACCCTAGGGACAATGGCTCTGAACCCTGTCCTATCTTAAGCTGATCTCACTGTCACCAAAACACCTACCCCCATTATGTCAGTTACTGTGTTAATCCATCTCATCCAGGGTCTTTCTCTCCTGCACTATCCATCCACCCTTCCAACCATGTTTGGCTCTTCCTGGCCACATACCCAAAAGATATGAGTTGGAACTTCAAAATCCTTGCCTCCACAGGAAGCTTGATTCCACCCTGTCTAAGACAGACCTGCTTGTTTTCTTGTCAGTCCATGATGTGTTCAATACTCTTCTCCAGCATCACAACTCAGAGGCATCTATTCTTCTTCCATCATCCTTAGTCATTTTCTAACTGCCTAATGCATAGCAAGTAGATGCAAAGACCGTGGCTTGTATCAGGTACTCCTTAGACTCTAGACTGACATTGTTGCTTTTCAACACTCTGGAGAGGTCCCTGAAAGCAGATTTTCCCAATGCAATTCAGTTTTTTATTTCCTGACTGCTGGTGCCAAGTGTGTCAATTGTGGAGTTGAGTAAACTAAAACTGTTAACAATTTCAATCTCTTTTCCATCTATATCATAATATACCTATTGACCCAGTGACGAAAATCTTTGTTTTCCCAATGTTGAAATTCAATCTACAATGAAGACTGCAGTAAACACCCATCTCAGGTCCTCCTCAGTTTCAACAAGTAAGGTTGTGTCATCTGCATAACACAGGTTATTGATGAGTCTTCCTCCAGTTCTAATACCACATTTTTCTCATAAGGTCCAGCTTCTTGCATGATCTGTTTGCATATAGATTGAAAAAGTATGGAGATAGGATGCATTGCTGACGTACACCTTTCCTGATTTTGGATCATGCAGTGCTTCCATGCTTTGTTCTGATGACTGCTTCCTGGTCTAAGTATAGATTTTACATGAGAACAATCAAGTGTTCTGGATTCCCATTCTTCTCAGGGTCAGCCACAGTTTGTTGTGATCTACACAGTCAAATGCCTTTGCATAGTCAATGAAAGATAGATAGACATTCCTCTGGTACTCTCTGCTTTCAAGTAAGATCCATCTAACATTGGGTATAATGTCCCTGGTGTCATAACCTCTTTTACATCCACATGTACAGCCTACACATCTGGCAGGTTTCTGTGGATGTACTGTTCCAGTCAGTTTTGTATAATCTTCGGCAGAATCTCCCTTGAGTGTTATATTAGTAATATTTTTTTATCATTTCCACACTCTTTCAGTTAACCTTTTTTTGGAACACAAATAAATATGGCTCCCTTCCAGTCAGTTGGCCAGGTAGTTGTCCTCTAGATTTCTTGGCATAGCCTGGAGGGCACGTCTCGGGCTGCATCTGTTTGCTGAAATATGTCAATTGGTATTCCATCAGTTCCTGAGGCCTTGGTTTTTGCCAATTCCTTCAGAGAAGCCTGAATATCCTCCTTTATTGCCATTGCCTCTGGTCCCATGTTGTTTCAAGACATTCTTCTGTATCAGACAATTCTTTTTGGTATAGTGACTCTGTATACTCCTTCCATCCTCTTTTGATGCTTCCTGGACCATTCAACATTTTGTCCATACCATCTTTAAGTATTACAACTCAAACCTTGTATTTTTTCTTCAGCCTAAGAAATGCTCACAGAATTCAGCCCTTTTGATATACTGATATTTTGTACATTTCATTATAATACTTTGCTTTGTCTTTCCAAGCTGCCCTGTTCAGCTTCTTAATGTCTTGATTTCTTCCCTTGCTTTGGCTTCTCGGCACTCTACTGTAATATTCAGAGTCTCTTCTGACATGAATCTCAGTCTTTTGGTTATTTTAACCTACATACTTAGATCCACTATTACCTGTGAGGACCACAGAGGGATGCTTATTTCTTGTTAAGTGCTCAACAAAGGCTGGCACAGCAAACTCAAAATGTAAACATGCGTTTCACAGAGCCTTGTGCACAGTGCTGTCACTAGGGCTGGTATCCCCAGTGCAGTCATTCATCGCGCTATCACCTCTTCCCAGGAACTCGTCTCATATCAGACCTTAGCAATGGTTATCAGGAATTCAAATCATAGAACAATATGTAATAAATATACTTGTATATTTGTGAAATACAGTATTTCTTAGATGATAGGAATACTAACAACAAAACAGTTTTGTCAAATCTTTCTAAATTTTATTTTATTTTATCTTATTTTATTTTATTTATTGTGTGTGTACCGTCAAATCAGATGTGACTGGTACCAGAGGTGATTGTCCTTCTTTCTCCAGCACAGCATCTGGTGTATTTGAACTGAAAATCTTTCTATATTGAGTTCTGCTGGCATATTGTGTAAAGAGTTCTGCTGTAAACTCAAAAGCCACATCTCTCTAGCAGTAAGAATCTACCAGCTGCTCCACACAAGAAAGATAGGCATTCTCCTCTCCTGGGATTTACAGGCTCAGACACCACCTGGAGGGTCAGTAATGAGAGACTCACAGGCAATGAGTGAAGATCTATAGTGGATGACAGTATTATTGATATTACTAGCCATCAAACAGAAAGTTATATTTTTTAACTTATTTTAATTACTACTTCATTTTCAAAAAAGTTATTAACAGAGATTTACAAATGTGCCTGGGTGCTTAGTGATAAGAAATTACACAGGCAATGCAGAGACACCTGGTTTGAATCCACCAGCTGCTCCACAAGAGAAAGATGGGCAGTCTCCTCCCGTGCAATTTGTTGCCTCAGATAATTCACTGGATAGTCAGCTC